AAAAAAAAAAAAAAAAAAAAAAAAAAGAATGACCAGATCTAGAGGTGATAACCCTTGGGGGTTTTGATCAAGGTGTCGAAAACGTTTTTGAGTTAACTCAAAAGATTTTTACTATAAATGGTGTCTTTAAATTTTTCTCCTATGCTTTCCAAAGTGTTTTCACAAGTTGTTCATTTAGATTATTTATTTTATTTATTTATTTATTTATTTATTTATTTATTTTTGAGAAAGAGAGAGAGAGAGAGGGCACAAGTGAACAAGGGGGAGAGAGAGAGAGAGAGGGAAAGAGAGAGAGAAGCGGGGCTCACATAAAGTGGGGGTCTTGTTTTTTTTTTTTTACCCGAAGCAGGGCTCATGCTCACCTGATGTGGGACTTGAACTCTGGAATGTGAGGTCATGATCTGAGCAGAAGTCAGATACTTAACTTACCAGTGAGCCACCCAGGCGCCCTAAAGTTTATTTTATTATTTCTTTGAGTAGGCTTCATGCCCAGCATGAGCCCAATGCTGAGCTTGAACTCACGACCTTGAGATCAACACCTGAGCTGAGATCAAGGGTTGGACACTTAACCGACTGAAGCACCTCAGCACCCCTCATTTAGTTCTTAAAAAAACACTGATTCTTAGAGTATGGGCTCTGACGTTAGGCCTGGGTTCAAATCCTTGTTTGTTATGTACCCTTGGGCCAATCATTTAAAATCTCTGAGCCTTATTTGCTTGTCTGTGGAATAGAGATGATACCTCTTCGGCAGGATGAAGTGAGGCCATGTATACTTAGTAGTGGGCTGGCCAGGGGCTCCATCAGACTAGCTCACAGACAGAACCAGGGGGTCTGGGAAGGTGCTGAAGCATTGAGTCATTAGTGGCACAGTGAGATGGCCTTCTCAGCCACGGGTGGGCAGAAGTAAAGCTCCCTGCTCTATATTCCCTCAAAACTTTTCTCTATCTCTTAAAGCTCTTCATCATTACCCCTTATGGTGTTCTTTTCTACCCAGACCAGGAGATTTTGGTGGCCAGAAGGTGCGGAGTCTACTGAGGTTCAGACATTGTGGGCTGGAATGGATCCAGGAAGTCATTGTGTACAAGGCCTGCCCCCAGGATGATGAGATGGCCAAGACACTGAGCCACAGCCACTGGGTCCGATAGGCCAGCAAGCCCACTTGTCAGAGTTGAAGGAGCTGCTACCATGAGGGACTCTGATGTGTCAGACAGCAAGCAGTGCCGGTGTCAGCTCTCCTACCCTTTGCTGACAGAGCGGGACCCAGGTATGAGGGGGATATCCTTCCCATTACTGAGAGCAGAACATGGCTTTGGTATGGTAGGCATGACTTGGTGGTTCAGTGGTTGGGGAGCCTCAGGAGACAGTGTCCTCGGCTTCCCATGGACATAGCTGGTGGCATTCCTCAGGTGGCACGTCTGGGAGCCCACAAGACCATCCCCAAAACTTCCCAGAAATAATCCTCCTAACAGCTCCCATTCATCCAGCTTCTTCTCTGGGCAAGGTGCTGGGTTAGGACTTTCCATGCACGGCCTGCTACAACCCTCATAACAACACCAAGACTTGGATCTGTTACTAGTCCTATTTTGTACTTAAGGAAACTGAAGCTAAGGCATGTTACAGAACTTGCTCAAGGTGCAAGCTAGAGTGGCAAAGGTGGGATTTGAATGTAGTCTGGTTGACTCTGGGGCCTTGGGCTATTCACCAAAATATTGAACACCCTCAAGGAGAAATGACCGAGGGAGGCTTCAAGGTTGGGTTGGAATGAAATTTAAGTCATTTCTTTTAACATGGCCTCATTTACTCTCAAGCCTGGTAAAGCCTGGGTGTTTGGGTTACATTTGCATCCTGGCTGCTCTAGGCACCTACCTGGCATCTGTAACTGTTTGTTGTGACACAGCTATGGCAGCAGGAGTCGGGACCATGGGCTTTCCTCCAAGACTCTTGCCTCTGGTGCCCAGAGGAATCTGTCTGGCCTTGGAAGTGCCTCCTGCCCAGAGCTCAGAGGTTCTCCTAGTCCTAAGCATGAACACTGCATCTCAGTGGTCCTACCTCCCTTGATCTTTGTACATGAGCAAAGATGGTAAAAATCTTAACAGACTTGGTTTGTGATTCATTTCTGCTACTTATTGGCTGTGTGATCCTAGACAAGTTAATGAGCCTTTCTGAGCTCAGTTTCTTAACTGTAAAATTGGAGGAAGAATAGCCACCCCATAGGGTTGTGGTGAGGAATGAATGAGGGAATAGATGTCTAGCCCTTCACTCACTAAAAGAAATCTATCATAACAACAGAAAAGTTCCATTTCTTCTCCTCTTCATTATTACTATCACCATTATTTTGTATGGCTTCTCAACC